AATCACAACAAAGAAACGAGGATTTGTCATAATTCACAAGTATCGCCACCAATTAAAACTTTCACTGGACCTTAATTAACTAATTATCGTTGCGATTAGCCCAGTATGAACTTTTGTCCAGTTACATTTCAATAAATCCACTTGGTACAATGTCCGCTATTTAGCATCTCTGTTTAAGAACGAATCTCATTTGGGTTTCATTGTATTGTTTGAATGAATCAAGTGAAATGATCGGCGGTCACCCAGGGAGTACTACGGGTGCGTTTTCCTTAGTTCTTCCGACCTGGGTCAAGTGTGATTATTGTTTGGCATGTGAATTATAAACACTGACCAGCGTCCAGTTGATCTATCGAGGAAGTTGTCACATTCTGGACAAATGCAGATGAGTATTTGCAGAAAATGCAATCACATGGAATCGTTTGCAGATTTTAAATCAATTTTGTGTCAGAATTGACGTCTGTGTTACAATCGTTGGTCAGTATCGTTGATCGGAATTTGTTCAGCTGTGAAAATGTAAATTTGCTCTGGTGTTTCAAAATTAACCCTGCGCCTGCAAAACAAAAGCACACAATCATTGCATGTAGACGAATTAGCTCTCACTTTTATTTTCTCTATTTTGACCTAAGCTTGTACGAACCAACCATTTTAAAATGGTCTTCAAATGCAAGCTTTTGATTGGCTGATTCAGAGCTTATTAAATTGTACGTAGATTAAATTGTAAGTAGGGTAGGTTGAGAAGTGTCTTCTAAATTGATTTATAGCATTTGAAATCAAGTAAAGTATCTATATTTAAGTTTTGATAGCCATTAAACTTATATAGACGGTTCATAATTCTTATCCATGTATAATCAGGGGTTTTTTTCTCCTGGGGTTGGGAGGGGTCTGTTAAATATATTATTAATTAAATAAATCTCACCTGCGTAAACTGTTTCTGTACTTACATTGAGTTACAATTATTGTTTCATTATTCAGATTAATTTTACTGCTGCTACCCATCTGTATGACATCAGCTTTCATTTATTACATGTATATCGGTATTCAGTTTTAAAAAATATTTTTTTTAACCCTTATCACACTATACATCTTAAATATTGATCTTACAATCAAGACAAAACTATTCATCATTAAAAATGGACTGCCTGAATTGTGAACAGTGCAGACCATGATCAGACGGTACAGATGTGTTGGGTGATCTTGGCCTGCACTGGTTGCACCAGTAGAATGCTGGCCAAAAGTTAATCAAGTGTTTTGTGTTTGTTTTCAGATATAAGTGCTGCAAGCTACAGGCATGGTGGATAAGGTGCAAATTTGACTATACAGTGGCTTTCTGAGTATTTAACAAGGTATGTTCTGGTGTTTTTTTGGTGTATTAGGGTAAAAAGGCACTACTGGTGGTGTTTTGGTTTGTTAAAAGATTTAATTCATGCTAAGATATCCATGTTGAAAAAAAATATGGTGTATAAAAAAGACATAAAATTAATGTTTTAGATGCTGATCCATATGTGAGCATATGATTGTACAATTTAGTTTCATTGACATAGTTTCATCTCTGCAATGCACTTGCTATGAACACTCTTTCGCTAAAAATAATAGACCTGAATTGTTTGTGCAATATCAAAATATAAATGGGTTTGCCACCCTTTCCCTTAGCTTGCTGGTGGGAACAGATTTTACCTATATTGCCATCTGATCATGGTCTGCACTGTTTGCTGTTTAGTCATGTACTTATTTTGATTAAAAGATGGAAAAGTCCATTTAATAAAAGATGGAAAAGTCCATTTCAGATTATTTTTTATGGTAAGGGTTAAATTTATTTCAAGCTTTTTCTTATTCTTCCTTTGAGTCAGCTTCTTTGTCAAATATTTGCCCAAAGACAGGTGCTTCACGAAACAAAAGAAAATGCTTTATATCCTTTTTGATCTTTTTTTGATAAAGGATTTTTCTTTATGAAAATAAAAATACCTTGAAAAATTTGATCATAGTTATTTAAATCATATTAAACTGCCAAAATGATAATGTCACGGGCCTTTTTGTGACTTTGAATAATCGGGGGATCATCTTTCAATAGCCTCGCATGGCATTTCTGTTTTGAAATATTTTAATAATGGACAAAAGGTATGCATTCATAATTATGAGATCACTTTTGTATGAAAGGCGTTTAATGGTATAAGTTATATAGGAGCTACTTGTTTGTAGTAAAAGGAAAAGAATGAAATTTCGGCTAATGTGCACCTTAAACGGTCTTTGGTTAGACTTTGATATCACAAAAAAGTATTTTTCATTTGTTGTGGTGATTAAAAAATATGGTTAATAAGTGGTGTTTCTAAAAATAGAAGCAGGCCTCTATCCCAATTGGCACCATTGTTGTGGTGTTGAAAATTAAAAGCCTTATGTTTTCTATATATAGAATTTAGTTACTTATTACCTAATGTTCTTAGTTTGCTCAGGAGGACTCTTTAATAGGGAAAAATTTAATCGTCAGGATGACACCACCCTTTGAATGCAAAGGGAAATAAAACACAAATGTTGAATAAATTTAAATCAACCAAATTTTTAATGAACTAAGTTTTTATTTACACTAAAAGTTACTTAAAACTAAACAAGTTGACAAAATGTACTTTAATATAAACTGTCTGTAATTAACCAAAAATATGAGAATAAAAATAAACTAGTGAATAAAAGATTTAAACCAGTTGAAAGTTGTTTAAACTGTTATAAATGAAAGTATGAAAAATAACCTTAATGATTCTGTGCTGTTAAACTAATAAATCTGAATAGTAGCAAGCCCTGTTTTAATCTATATGAACAAAAATAAAGATCTAATAATTCAAGATGGCTGCCACTTAAAACAAAGAAAAGATATTAATTAATCTTAATTAATTCTGTAAAAAATAATTACTTAAATTACTTACAAATTTATCAAAAATGTTTCAGTGAATTTAGATAATCTCTAAGGTTCATTTAAATGCCAAAGTGCCTAAAATAAATTAAATAATTAATTAATTAACCTTAGAGAGCTTTTAGAGATCTTACTTTTCCAAAAATTAGCAGCAGAATGACAAAACTGTTTGAGATGCTTGTATAAATGGACTTCTGAATCCCAGAGGGAGCTAGCATCTACCTACAGGTGGCACTGTATGTAACAACTTATCTGATTGGTCAAATTACAGCCAACCAGAGCTTACTTAACAAATGCTCTAGGCTTATCAGTTCTTTACATAACTATTCTAAAAATAGATTATGATTCATGGAAAATTTTGCAACAGTATCAATTGACCATGATCACAAAAATAATAAAGTGATAAACTTTATCAAAAATATTCTAAACAATAAAACTAGAAACTAATATCAACTAAACATATTTACAAACATATATAAATGCTAAATCAGTAACTTGTATCTCACTAAATTTAAAGGCCAGTGTAATTAAAAGTAGAACCATTCTCTATATGTTGTATATAAAGAGTCTTAGGCCATGCTAAGTAACTGTTAATGAGTGTATCAATAAGTTCTACAAACTATAATCAACATTAAACTAATGAATGATAAGAATGAAATGTCTATAAAACAATACAATATTCAATATGATTAAACTTTAAAATAAACTTAAATCTAAGTTAAAGTTTAAAGACTTTAATATTTCTTGAAAAATATTCCTTAAGATTATACATGTTATACTTCTTGAGTAATATTATGCAATATTATATAATAATTATATAACCTGTTGTAGTTGGAATCCAACTTTACAACACATTCAATAATATCATTCCATCAAAGATCATAGAAATTGATGCCCTTAGATCGAAATATTGTGTAATAACATTTGAAAATAAAACTACATCTTTTTGAGAAGGAAAAATATCTTAGTATTTATATTGATGGTCTAAAGGTTTGAAGTCTGGATGACAATATTTTGAAATGAGGAGCTTTTGTTTCAATTTGTTTTGTTTTTTGTTAGATTTAAGTCACATTACAACACACTAAAAGTGTTATGGCAACTTTCCAGCTTAGCTAGTTGGAGGACACTCCGAGAAGACTTTAGGTGCTCCTCTGTGCATTATTTGAGACACAAACCTGAGTAGCACCACAGAAATTCCGTAACCTAAGCTGGATAGCTTCCCCACATGGAAGAATCCAAAGTCCCTGGAAGGATTCAAACCCACAGTGGTGAAAGGCAAATAGTTTGAAATATGAAGTGGCGGATAGCTTCCTTCACAGTTAAAATAAATTCTTTATATTAAACTGATATTTTTAAACTTATCATTGTGACATAGAAATCGAATAATTATAGAATGCTTAGTTTATAATTATACTCAACAAAAGTTTTTGCTCTTACATAAATTCATGTTAATTATCTATTGGAAAGTGCCATTTGAAATTGCTTTGAGTCTGTTTATTTTTAACATACCCCATTCTTTTATTTATTTACCAGCATTTTCAATTTTCATAATTCTTGAATAAACATACTGCACCATCAAGGAATGTTATCTTATAATTTGTAAAAATTGTCCTTGAATGGCAAAAAAAATGCTTGCTGCATAATTCTTTATTTACTTTCCATTTACAATTAACAACAGAGAAATTTTATTTAATTAAATTTCTGGAAACCTGCCACTTTAAATACAACAGGCAATTTGTTGTTCTTACATATTTTGTTTTGTTTAACAGTCCTGACATCTTAATGATGAAAATTAGCAAAAAAAATAATTTATACACCTTAGCTTTTCAGTGTGATTATTTGCTGATGCGTTTACAATGCTGGTATACAGCCTTCGTTTTCAAAAACCAGGAAACCAAAATAATAAAACGAGATCGAACATCGCATAGCTTCAATTAACGACACAAAAGATTTATATTTTGCAATTCAGTAGATGGCGCTGTTTTTTTTATTCTCGAAAATTGACTTTCACGCTTTAACCATGTTCGGTATTTTTCCCGATTTCCTGATGAAATGTAAAACCCTCCCATCCACACGATTGAGCTAACGACAAAACAAACGTCAATGATTAGCTGCTAGTCGATCGCGGAGCATGTTCTCGGCCCGTCCCATTGTCAAGTAACGTGAAATTATTTGCACTTGATTGAAACACTGTTTACCTGTGCTAAACGACTAGAGATAAACCTATTTGGGTGATATCATATGGATCAGTAGAAGTTACACTTTGCCAGTTTTATAAATTTTGATAACGGACAGATAGTGTTCAGTTAAATAAGGACGTAAAAATGCGTATTAAAAAGGAGTAACATCTATGGGTATATAATTAACTCAAATGACTAAATTATATGGTTTCGGAATACAAGCAGTTTTCTGACTTACATTCAGATTCGGGTAATTGAGTTTTGTGAATAGTGAATAATGTATGTTTGTCATAAGGCCTGCAGCAAGAAATTGAAATTAAAGAATTGAAGTAGGCGTTTAGAAATTTTACGTTTTATCTTGAAAACAATAAGTGATTACAAATCAGACGGACTACGTGTCATGAAATATGTTCAAGGCTCTTGAGTGCACTCGTGAATTATCAATCCGATAGTCGAGTACTGAAAATATTTCATAATTGTATGTTTATAAGATCTTGGATGTTTATTTAGTGAAATTGTGATTGATTTTGGTGGCAGTCTGTGGCTGAAATTCGATATATTTGATGCGGAGTAATTTAAAGGTAGCGTGTAATTAGGGCCGCCTTTTTGAAATAAAGTTAACAGTTTAAACCAGTAATACAGCCTCCATGATTGTGACAAATGCTTTTCGGAAATTGAATTTCTAGGATTGACATTCTGTTATATACGAATAATTCTTGAGTGTGATATTTCTAATTTGTGTTTTTCTGGAATATATTTCACATAAGAAGGGAGCTGACTTCAGGTAATATTCTCATGTTTTTTAGCATCATAATGTTATAAATTAATGTTATATGAAAATCCAATAAAGAACTGCAGCCATTGTAAATAATCAAGAAAGTGTCACCTAAAAACAGAAGATCTTTGATTTAAAGCTGTCATGCCGACCGATGAAAAAAAAAAGGTTAAATATAAAAACTGTAGAAAGATAATTAAAAGGGTTAAAAAATGCATGGTAAATATTCAGGACCAATGGAAGGCTTTGCATGGTTTATTTGTAATATTATTTATTTACTATTCCCTCATCATATTTCTGTTTTTCCTGAATAATATTTTATTGCATAATTATATGAACATACATCATTCATACATAAACACATGTCTACACAATATACAAATGGGTTGGGCCAAAAATTTCTGTTATATTGTAAGACATGATTGTGCTTTTATGGATGCCATAAACTAGATAAAATCACTTATTTTGTTCACATGACAAATTTTGTTGTTGTTGTTTTTTAACAGTTTCTAAATATTAATAAAAAATTTCATGGATCTGGAGACAATTGCTGCTTTAAGTGTTTAATCAGAAACCAGGTGGACAAAGAATTAAAATATTTCATAAAAATAAGTGATTGTTAGTATTTTACTAGTTCAATATTGACTCAAAGTCTGCATTTTAACTTTGTAGACAGAAAAGCTTAATATTGCCCAATTTTAGCATATAACGTTAAATATTATCTTGTTAGTATTCTGATGTAAGTGTAAATAAATGGCGAAACTTAAAATGGTGGTATGCAAGATACTGCCATTTCTACCTTATCTTTACCTTGTACATGTACTATAAATATGATGTTTCTTTATGATATTGTTAACTTTTTGGTTAAAAAAATAAAGAATATCGATCACAAAATGCTTTACCTCATTCCAAACTTTCATTTTATTCCAAATATGGTCAGTACATAAATATACATGTAATATAAAGGCCAAAGCATCACTTTTAAATTCAATTTGAAGATGGATTTTTATTACATGTTTTGCAGTAGATTACTGAATTATAACGGTTAATTATATTCTGATAATTTCACAGTAATGATTACCAAATATAATTTCACAGTAGCCGAACTATATTTGGCGTAAAAATAAAATATTTATCATTAATGAATGTTTTTTTCAGCGGAAATGTAGTCAATCATAATAAAAAATGTACGTGATAACTGTAGTTCGTAAATATTTACGAACGTTGTGCTGAAAAAACATCTAAAATCTAAAAATAATCATGGAATAATATTTTGCTTCAACATTGTGACGTCATTATTTGATGACGTCATGAAGATAAGAGCATGGCGTTACGCGGCAAAAATCAGTAAAATGGTGTAAAAATCGTTAAAAAATCATGAAATAAACAGAAAATTTGTTTGTTTTACATGTAAGATCAAATAATATTTCACTCGTGAACCCCAGCTATTATATTTTCACTCGTGGCTACGCCACTCGTGGAAAATATTGCATCTGGTGTTCACTCGGTGAAATATTTTTCGATCTTACACTGAAACAAACAAATATCCTCTATATAAATTGTTTTAAAAATGTACCAGTATCAGGTCCATTTGTGCTAAAAAAAATTTAAATATAAATTTTAATAATAATATGTGAAGGTACAAAATTAATGTGATATTAACATTATGGTATAAAATGTATTTACCCTGACTTATGCTTTTATATAACAAATATCCAGGATCGGAAATTTGATCATGCAATTCTTAAAAATTTCTTTTTTTTTAAGGCTTTTAATAACGATGTAATAAAGAATGGGAACACATTTGTTGAGCCCTATATCTTATTCTGTCTTTGTCAGGTGATTTAGCATACAATTTATTTTTAAATACAATTTTATTTTTTTTAAGCGAGATGGTAAATTTCGATTCTAAAATAGCGTTTAAACAATATTTTGATATTTAATGTTTATATTTTTTATTGTAAATTAGCGTGATATGGATATCATATGGACATGTATATTTTTAATATCAGTTCTATCATTATTTTTTGTAACTTTTTCTTTTCTTTAGTATATGGCAAAGAAGTTAATTTTTCGGCTTTTTACATAATGACGAGACACGTTGATAGAGATTAACACGAAGGGGTCATTGTACACGGAGACATACTCATGTTGCAGTTTGAATGTGTTACCATTCAATTGAAACATTATTTTTTAAATGGGTCGGCCCGCCAACTGTTTGTTAAAGCTGTTATTGACGCGAAGGTACGGGAAAGATTGATTTCTGTTTAAATACTCGTATTACAAATAACTCGATGACACTTTTTGTAACGTCTTTTAATTCATCCACTTCACATTGTCATTAAGGATTATTCATTATAAAGTGGGCTTCTCTTATATGTTGACAATTTTAAGCGACTCATTCAGTAAAAATAGAAAGAAAACATTGTGTCGTATTTTAATTTTTCTGAAAATGAACCAGCAGGGTTTTTTTTGTGTTATTATTTTTTGTATTGAGGGTGTCAGTTCGTTTTAACATTGCAGAATTATTACCCTCATTTTAATTTTTGTTTACACATTTTCAATGTGTATGAAAGAAGTGCATTGTTGATTTTCGAGGCCATTTAACGAAATGTGTTTTAAATATTGTTGCCTAGTAATTATTATACCTTAAAAAGATAGCAGAAAACTCAAAAATTATACAAACCATTATTTATTTCATAAGATAAAATAATGTAATTTTAATTCTGAATAACCAAAATTTCATATATATATATTAACTTATTATACAGGCATTTTAATAGTTTTCATTTTTTTCTGCGTAGTATTTAATATATATTCAAATTATCTGGATGATTTTTTGTTTGTTGTTTTTTTATTGTTGTTTTTTTTCTGATTAAAATTCATTTATGTTGTTCTTTTTCTGATTAAAATTCATTTATGTTAAATACTTTTTAATGCTAGTCTGTTCCAAGAAATGACTGAATTTATGTATATACAAGATAATTCTAACAATATCTCAAGTGTGGAGAATTGGATACATATATTATAGGATGTAATATAATTTATTGTTTTATATAAACAAGTATAGTGACAAAAATAACTACTGAAAGATAATATGGGAGGAATCAATGAAAACATTGGAACAAGAAATTAGTTAAAATTTTATTTAATTCCAACTACCGGTAGATTCGGGTATGCACTACCTTTTTCCAAAGTAAAAAAATATAAGAATTTGACCCTGAAAGTACATTAAATCAGCGTGACCTTATTCAAATGTTTCTAAATATAGATTCTTGTTCTAAAAATAGTATATTAATAAAGTATAGTAAAAATCTGCTGGCTGGGACAGATTGTATCCATACCACCAGTGCAGACCAAGACCAGTCATCTAATCAAAAAATTGGTCTGTTGGGTTTGCTATTTAGTCAGTAAATGTTTTGAAATTTTCCCTAAAAAAGATAAATGGTTTCATTCCACATTGAAAGATTGACAAGTTCGTTTAATAAGATATTTAGGGGTGGTGAAGGTTAAATACATCAATGTTTGGAACAAGTTAAATGCAAGAACATTTGAAATCATTAAACTTTTTAAATAAGCAAAAAAATGTTGAAAAATTAGCAAAATTCACTATTTTGCAGGCTGTTTTAATATTGCATGCATGTATTCCGATATAAAACTGCCTATATGTAATGTCACTTTTCATTGGATAATAGAGATGTTTTTATTATTTATATACACAGCTGCCATTAAAGTATGGAGTTATTTATTTTATTTCTTTCTCAAATAAAGTAATTAGGTTGTTAGCTGTGTATAAACAGTTGTTTGCAATACAATCTGAGGTGCCATATAAGCTAACAACTGTTAATACTAAACCATATAAAATGACTGTCAGACATCTTTATAAATAATTTTGTAATGTCACTTTTCATTGGATAATCATGACAGTTATATAGCTATATATACACGGTTTAGAAATCACACTTTTTTCCATAAAAAAGAAAGTTGACTGTACTATAAATTCATTATAAATATTCCTGACATGTTATATGAAAATATATAAACAGTTGTTTGCAATATAACCCTTGCAGCAAACAACTATTTCTATAGGGCCATATAACCAGGTGTCAAAAATCTTTATATCTAATGATATAAAGGAATACATAACAGTTATAATACAGAAGAAAACAGAAAATTTCTATTTATTATGGTACACACTGCGGACATCATGCGATTTATGTATTTTCAAAAATATTTTTTTAAGCTTAATTATTATTATAACTATCTCTTACATTATTAGTCCCCTACCGGTTTACCGGAGGGGACTTTAGGTTTACCCTCCGTCCGTCTGTCCGTCCGTCCGTCTGTCCGTCCGTCTGTCCGTCTGTCAGTCCGTCAGTCCGTCCGTCCACAAAACTGGATCCCGCCATAACTTGAAAAGTACTGAAAATATTTTTATGAAACTTGGTATATGGATAGATGGCAGTATGGTGATTATGCACGTCTTTTTCTTTTCTTCCTATGTTGAAAATTCTGGTTGCTATGGCAACAAATAGGCTGAAAATATGGCAAATTTTACACATAAACTGGATCCAGTGATAACGCAAAAAGTGCTGGAAATATTTTTATGAAACTTGACATATGGGTAGATGGCAGTCTTGAGATTATGCACGTCTTTTTCTTTTCTTCCTATGTTGAAAATTCTGGTTGCTATGGCAACAAATAGGCTGAAAATATGGCAAATTTTACACATAAACTGGATCCAGTGATAAAGCAAAAAGTACTGGAAATATTTTTATGAAACTTGACATATGGGTAGATGGCAGTCTTGAGATTATGCACGTCTTTTTCTTTTCTTCCTATGTTGAAAATTCTGGTTGCTATGGCAACACATAGACTGAAAATATGGCAAATTTTACACATAAACTGAATCCAGTGATAACTCAAAAAGTACTGGAAATATTTTTATGAAACTTGACATATGGGTAGATGGCAGTCTTGAGATTATGCATGTCTTATCTGTTCTTCCT